TCTGCAATGGCAGATCATACATAGATGCCTACCTACTCTGGATTGGCTAACAACAAAAACCGACTTAGAGGCAAAAGGACAACTCTCCCCGTTGTGCATGTACTCCACCAACTCCACGCCACAGAAAAGAGCTACATTGGAACACAGTGTATTATACTGCCCAATGGTGACACAGATCTGGAGCTGGTGGGACGCCGCCTGGCACTATCTCACCGGGGAACAGCTGCCATGGGACGTTCGTACTCTTCTGCTGGGAGGTCCCCCAGAGAGCGGAACAGACTGGACATCTTTTATGATGGACCTGTTCACGTACTCCAGACTAACGGTACTAATGGCTGCCTGGAGGATGCGCTGCGCATACGAAAGGAAACAACATCACTTTGGTTTTATGCAAGCACGGACAACAATCATAAATGCTATCACAGCCAATACCCAGGAGGCCTGGAGACAACTGCAATCTGAGCTACGGAAAGAACCAGATGCGGCTAAAAAACGACACATAGTGGATGCCTTCAAAGCCACCTGGACGGACAGCGATGGGAAACTGTGCACCCCTGACAACGCCCTCTCTCTTAAGTGGCAGCCTTGGATGTCTACGGAGAGGCAGTGGGAATGGCTGCCAAGGCACCACTTTCAGGTGGTATACCAACCCACAAACTCATTCTCATTTCATCAGAGGACTGTGCCCAACACCCCGTCCACCTCACTCCCGTCTGCAACCCCCTCAGCAGCAGCCCGCCCCCTCCCTGCCAGCCCTGCCTTCTCCCTTCTATCTCCTCTCCCCCCCTCGCTCACTCCCACGACCTGCCTGATCACCCCCCAATAACTCTCCCTCCTCCCTCCTCTCTCTCCACCTCCCCCACCCTCCCGGCATTGCCCCTTCTGTCTCTGCAACCTCGACCTTTCATCTCGATTGCCGGCCAAGGATATCCGAGAGCAGGCCAGTTAAGCAGGGCGGAAGGGGAAACAGGCACAGTCTGTATACAAATTCACGAAGTCAGGATCTTGGTCCTGGTAGACATAGTGGAGATAAATGCTCAGGCAGAAATAGCAACCACATTTCTCAATTTCAACTCCATTCTGTACGTTATCATTGTTTATGGGTTTCGGGAGGGAGGGAAGAAGCGATGGCAGAAGCCACCCCACATCAGCTCCACGCTTACACAATACACTTCACACTGTCACAGCACTGCACAAGACTGCACCCCGGGCAATATGAAGAAGGACATCCACTAGGGTTTAGGGTTTATCCTATCAGATGCAACTACATTCACTTTTTTCTTATTTTTTATTTTTTAATTTAATTTAATTTTATTTTAAACAACCCGAGCAAATGCTAGGGGTGCTGATAAGAGCAGACACCACTAGCATGCTCATGTCCATTCATACAGTCAACCACAATGTTCAGGGACGCTGGACCCGCTTTCCAGTAGGTGCTGCTCCCCACCAATAGATGGAGCCTCCCCGATAGTGCTAGTGGTGCCTGCTCGTACCAGCATCCCTAGCATCTGTTTGGGTTGTTTCTTTTTAAGGAAGAGTTGCTGGAGGCCATTGCTTAGACAAACACACACAGGTTGCAGTTTCCTGAGATGGACGTCTTCATACGTGATCTGCAGTCAGAATCAGGGTCTGAAACGGAACCAGACCATGCGTTATACCCACAGAATGATGAGCAATGGCTCGCCTCTGACGTGGGGCAAGAGGTCCCCTTGACAGCAGACCAGCGCATCCTGTACTGCGTCCTCTGATCGAGGAACAGCCGCATACAGGCCTGCGACAGCACCTGAAACAGGCTCAACACCATGTTCAACAGCAAAGGGAAGCAATGGGACGGATTGAAACCGGGGACCAACAACAACTACAACGGGAACGGCAACACTGGCAGCAGGTGCAGAAAATGCTGATAAGGGGAGAACAGCAAGAGCAGCAATGCAGGGCGGAATAACTCACCCGCTTGCGACAGTGGCAACAATACCAGGAAGCTCAAAACTGGCTGCGACAGCAGCAGCATCTCTACAGGCAAAAGCAGCAGCTGATCTTGGAACAATTAGAACAAAGGGCAGTGCAACAACACAAGCTGCTGCTGCAACTACGGCAACAGCCGACATGGGTGCCACAGCCCGGGGTACCGCCGTCCATTCCAGAAGAAGGCATAAACCCATCGACCTTGAAATGGAATCTGCTCCACAGGCTAGCGGACCACAGGCCACCAGCCTCGACACAGAACTGGTCAAGGATGCCGAGATCCACCCTGCACTGGATCCCGAAATGGGAACGGCCCCACAGGGGGAGGGGCCTGACGGGAATGACCGGGAAAGGAGTCCAGAGACCTGGGACGAGGAAATGACCAACAAATGGGCAGGGATAAGAACAGTTCCATCCCAGGAGAAACGAGCGAATCTTGACACAATCCATGATAAGGTGGTAAGAGCACAACTGAAAGAGCTCACTGATTGGATACTCTGAAACTCACTGTCTCCAACAGGCATCTCCATCACTGAACTCATACCACCCTTACACTGGGAAAAAATACGCAGGCGCATTATTGGCCGAACAACAAATTGAACAGGCAGTCAATAAATACGCCAACATCAATGAAATTGATTGGGGCCAAGTGGAAAAAGCCATCGTTTCCACTGTTGAAACGGTTTTCATACCCAGGGTTCGATCCCTAGACCTCACCCTACCCATGTACAGTATCTGTGTAGACCCCGAGAATTGAACCTGTGACCTGTGTATTCATAGGCAGTTGGTAGGCCTGTCGTAGGTCCATAGGCAGCAGGGGTTCGATCTGTAGGTCTATAGCGTAGGAGTCTTAGTGAGTTCTGGAAGCTTAGCTGTAGACCTTCTAGAAGATAGGCAAGTGGGCAAGTGGTCAAGTGGCGAGGCAAGTGGTGGACTAAACCGCAGTGCAACAGCAGTACAACGTCRGTAGGATGGYGGTGAGTCCACAGTCAGTCCCAGTCCGGTCCAGCAAGTRCCACAGGGGGACTGTAAGCACCATGGGCCGATGGCAAAGGGCAGACCAACGAGTTTCTGAAGTATAAATCAAGAGGCAGCGCCCAGCCATTCATTTTCATTCCTGCGTGAGCCATGCGGAAGCGCTGCCRCAGCGACTTGTGCAACGAGGTCTGCAGATGAGCCCGGAGGACGCAGTGGGCAAGAGAGAGGGAATTAGTCTAGCGATAGGTTAGATGCAGCGATAGCTGCCATAGCTGTAGTTAGTAGTGAGTGTGTGTGTGTGTTCGAGTGTTAGAGTGATGCGTGTGGGATATCCAGGGTGATSCAGTGTATGTGAACAGTGAGATGTTTGGGCGCTGAAGTTGCCATATCCAATTGAGAGTGAACTCGTATCTGAAAGCCATATCTCTGAGTTTTGAGTGGGCGCATGT